TGCAGAAGGGGACAGCAGAAACATAGCTCCTAGTGGAAGTTAGCAGAGAGGGCTAAACAATGGCAGCACCTACCTTTAGCATCACCTCTCTCCTCCCCCTTCACTTCCTGTCCCTTTGCCCTTGCTTGGGCAATTCATCTGCAGCAAGATAGAATCAAAGAACCCTCTTCCTTTGCTAAACAATTTGCTCCTTTTGTTAGGGTCAGATAAAATGCTGATAACAGCTATTGTAGCTCTGCTGAAGCCAGCAGGAGCGTGCTGGTCCTTGATCGTTTTGCACCTTGCTCCCCCCTGCATGTATCCAGTTACATCTCAAGGTAAATCCAACATTATACTGAATTAATGGACCCCATGGGGGTTTTGCCTGTTGGTAGGTGCAGTGCCACAGAGCTTTGGGGACAGGAGTTCTGTAAATGGAAGGATCTGCAGGGTGACTTCTTGGAAAGTGCATTTTAGGGTTGGATGTTTGTTTTCTTATTCCTCACTAAACAATCTCTGGTCCCTGCTGCTGGGGAAAAGGGCAGAGCAGAGCCTGGCCTCCAGCTCACCGCTGAGCCCTGTTTGCTGCAGCTGCACTTTGAGAAGGCGTTTTGGGGAGGCGTAGGAATTGCTTTTATCCCATTGAGCTAAACGTGTTCAGAACATTTTCATTGAATGGGTACTTAAATGCAGTGGTGGAGGGAGCCCTCAAAAGAGAGAAGATGGGGTGCCAAGGAAGGGCAGGGCTGAGGGGGAGGTGAACAGGTTCCTTCCCACCATGTGGGCCATAGGAATTGCTCTGCTGGCAGCCACAAGCCCCATTAGATGTCCAGGGGCATCCTCCCACTGCAAGCAAGGTACAGAGCAACTGGGGGAGAATTAGCAACACGTCCAATTGTAATAAGGTTGCTATTACGGGTAATATATATTTAACACTCTGCAGGGACCATTCAAACCTGCATCTGTAGGAAGGGGAAAAAAGTCAGGTTTGCTTTTTTGGCAGCCTGCAGATCAGAGAGTCCAATCTGCAGTCCTTGGTATGTTTTATGTGGGTGGGTTTTGTTAAGCTACAGGCAAAGTTATTGCACCCCTAGGCTACTCACATTAAATGCTCCTCCAATTTTAGCAACATTCTTTCCAGGCTCAGCTACATTTGTTTTTGTCTTCTCTATGGCAATTGATGACCTAAGTCTAAAATGTATAACTCCACAGGATCTCCTGTTATTATATATTTCTTCCACAGCTGTAGCTGAATTAGGACAGTATAATCCAATGACATGTTGTAATGCCTACAGTTTTCTTTAATACATTCCAGATTATAGGAGTCAACAAAGTTTACATATCCAAAGTAATAAGTTTACACAATAATTTACAAATCCCAAACCAGGATTATATCTTGGAAGTGTTTGGGGTGTTTTTTTTCCTCCTATTTTCTCTGGTCTGGTTAAAGTCTGTTTGTAGGAAACTCAACAGGACAGATAAAGGATGCTGAGACAAACAACTTAATCCCCTAATAATGTCAAGTGGAAAATCCAACAACGGATTGGCAAGGAACTCGAGTAACAACTCCAAAGTGGCCCTTACTGAGAACTACAGAACTAGTGAAAAGCCTGAGCTTGGGATATAATTAGAGATGAGACTGAATCAGTGCCCATAGGTTCAAACATTTCTTTGAACTCTGAAATAGAGCCCAATTCCATTTTATTTTTTAATCCATGCCTGCATAGAGTCATATTAGCTCCATTGAGGCCAGTTCAGCATCACCTCGTACCTTGTGCTGCCCTCAGTCCCCACACGAAGTGGCCATGAAAGGCACTTGGGTGGTATTTCCACGTTTGGGTGCTGTTGCAGATGGGAGCATGGGATCCTATGCTGCCAGGCAGGTGCCTGTCACGCAGCACCAGGAGGAGGATTGCTGGGCAGCACTTGCTGGCCTCTGAGTCCCACCATCTCATCCTGCTCTTTCCAGGGCCTGGCACACACTGCACCCCCATGCAGCAGCCCCCATTCCTGCTGCTTAGGGCAGCATCAGGCTGCTGTTAATAAATACACCTCGAAAGTAAGGTATGTGTTCACAGAAGTAGGAGGCTCTCAGACATGCAATTGCCAAGCAGCTTCAGAAAGAGCCTGTTAATTATTATCTCCTTGGAGCTGTATTTAGTTAGACAGCCCTTCACCCTGGGGTTTCGTGGTAGGAATGTCTTACTGGGGTGGAGACCAGGGCGTCCAGAAAGGAAACAAAGGAAAGAGGTTTTAGAGCTGTGTCTTATCTCTGTCCACCTGAATTACTGTTGTATTTTAAAAGAATATATGAAACCCATTGTTTGAAAAAACCCTGACGAGTGTCCTCTCCCAGCTCCATTGTTTTAATGTTCTCCTAGGAATTTGTATATAAAATGTTCCCAATCCAGTTTATCTCTCCCTGCTTGACAAATCCTGTGTTTCCTTTCTGTACTTTCAGCAGAGTGGGAACTAACCTTGATCTTTTTGCTACGCGAACAGGATTGCCTGTTCGGATGTCACATTCCCACCCTCACACACAAACAAGATGTACCACCACTGAAAATAATCTGTGGGAAGATCATACATTCAAGATGAACTTCTGGAAAGGCAGCTCTGAACTGAACCAGACCCTCTGTCAGAGGACAGAGCAACTAATGTTGTCCAGCTTGCATGGAAACCCCTTTACACAGCAGGTTAAAACAAATGATCTGAGGCCAGGGCTGTAGCTCAGCTCCTCCACTATTCGCAGCCCCTCGTCTACATCTCATCCTGAAGAGAAGGGACTTGGCCTCTCTCCTCAAAGCTCCTTTTCTCTTATATTACCCATGGTTGCTGGAATGGCTTTTTCAAGCCAAGGAGACCAGGTGGTCACAAGTGACCATAATGTTGACCATGTGCTGGGCTGGTAATGAGAGGGAAATGCAGAGGTAGCATGATGCCACTTTGTTCCTATCTGTCCCTGTACTGTACAGCCCAACCAGCTCTGATATTTGGTCTTTGAGCTTCTGAGCAGCTTAAAGGCAGTTCCGAATCCCAGGCTTGTTCTGTGGATGAAACCCTTCCCAGAAGGGAGAAATCTCAGAGGAGTCTGTTTAATATAGGCTGATCTCATGCTTGAGCATACACAGGAGTTGACCTTTCAGCACTGAAATAAGAAGTGATGCGGATAGAATAAATCACAGCCTTGAAACAAAAGCCAAGCAGCTTAAACTTGCACCTCAGGAGAAGGAGTCAAGGTGAGGAGGATGAGAGCTGCAGAGGGGCTGAACGACAGGTTCACAAAGCCATCTTTCAGCAGTGGATTTGGTGGACCTTTGCAGAGCAAGCTTGCAGAGGAAAGGCTATTGAGATGTGAAATTGAGATAAAAGGTGATGAGCCCTGGAGGTGAATTTTAGTCAGGTGGGTAGGGTGGAAAGACTCCGTTATCCTGAAAAAATCTGCAAGGCTTACAGATAGGTTGGATGGGAGGACTGAAAAGGATCCAAGTTTTCCACTTGCTAAAAGTTTCAGGGTAGGAGCAAAATACTCCCAAATGAGAGCAGTAACATTTACACTCGCATTGCAAAGGCATAAATCGTTCTATGAACTGCCAGGCTGCAAAGAACCAAGCTTCTATATTGCATTGCAAGCCTTAGAGCTGTCATATTTCCATTGACACCAAAGCCAGAATTCCCACAAACTTGATAGGAGGCAGCTCCGAGCTCCCCCATGGTACGTCCCCTTAACCTTCAGGGCCTGGCGTTGAGCGCAAGGTTTTTCCAAGAGAACCAAAACTCAGAGCACTCCCCTAATATCCGGAAGCCACAGCCCAATGAGGAACTCCCTCTGTGTGGTGCCTTATGCTAGAGCCTGCTTCCCTGTTCAGCCTCAGGGGAGGCTTTTTCAGGGAGGATCGGGCTGGTCGGTGCCGCAGAGCCCATCACTGCCTGGAAAGATGTTGGGGTTTGCCCCCCTGACCCACTCTTCCTTTGCACCATCTGTGTTGTATCCCCAAGGCAGTCGGACCCCCAGCCCCATCCATCAAACCCTGGCAGGACAGAAGACTGTAGGAGCTGGCTGGAGCTGGAGGAACAGTTTTTTGGCAGAGAGGAGCTTTTCCAGCAAATGTCAAGGGGGAGGGGGAGTCAAAATGATTCACAAATTCAAACACATTTTCTGAATAGTTCTGGCCTAGAAAAAAATACAGAGGTGGGGGAAGAGGGAGGGAAGTTAAAAATAGCAGTGCGTCTCATTCTGACACTTTCAGAATGAACTGTTTCATTTTGGGAATGGTTTGTTTATGTTTTGCAGGCATTTCAAATGTAGATTTGATTCAAAATGGCATTTTTTTCACTTCAAAGTTGACCTCCCTTTTAAAACACATTGAAAGGAGAAAAGAGAAAAGGATTTTTAGAGCTTACGTAACCCGAAATAAAACACCTCCTTTTGCTTTGCCTCCAAATGAGACATTTCAGAGCTTTCCTTCCATAGCCCTACAATTTTAGCTGTGTTCAGCCCAACGTGAGCATCTCCTCTCCCCGAGTGTTTCTTTGGTTGAGCTCGGATATAGACAAATCCATGCTCCATCCGGCTCCCAACCTTTGAGTCTGATGCCATGGAGCAAGCACTTTAATCTGAGGTCAACCACATGTTGCTGTGATTCAGACTGAAACCTGTGGTATCAAATGAATAAGAGCTGTAGGTTTGGTAGATAACTGGCAGCTTCTCCGGAAGATGCAGTGACAAACCTCAGTTAGAAAAATAACCCGAACTCCTGGGGCCCTGCAATCTGATCTAGAAACCTTCAGAGCAGCCGGAGTGTGCAGACTTTCACTCCCTCCACACTCACACCACTCTCAGTCAACTGATTCAGTAAAGGGAAACGAGCAAACAGACAGTAATTACCTTGCTGTAGCCAAAACGTGCCGCAGTTTCCCCGGGCAGAGGGGAAGCAACACACGCGTTTGCTGTTTGCTGTATGATGACGTTGTTAAGTTTACTCTCCCCCAGTTTTCTGCCTGTTGTGCCATTCCCTCAGGGGAATTGCATCCCTTGGTGTCTGGAGAGGAGCCTCCTTTGCTGAGATTTACCTTGAATGGCTTCTGAGCCCCTTTCCTGTGTGCCTTGGGAGAGTTCGGGCACAAAAGGAGGAGAAAAAAGATGCAATGGTGTGGGATGGCAGACTCTGTAGCAGCAGTCCCTCTTGGGCAGGGGTCATAGGAAAGACCTCTTCCATTTATGGGAAGACTCTGACATTTACCTGCAATAGAATCATAGAATCATAGAATAGTTTGGGTTGGAAAGGACCTTAAGATCATCAAGTTCCAACCCCCCTGCCGTGGGCAGGGACACCTCACACTAAGCCATGTCACCCAAGGCTCTGTCCAACCTGGCCTTGAACACCGCCAGGGATGGAGCATTCACAAATTCCTTGAGCAACCCATTCCAGTGTCACACCACCCTTAGAGCAAAGAACTTCCTCCTTATATCCAACCTGAACTTCCGCTGTTTAAGTTTTAACCCATTACCCCTTGTCCTATCACTACAGTCCCTAATGAGGAGTCCATCCCCAGCATCCCTATAGGCCCCCTTCAGATACTGGAAGGCTGCTATGAGGTCTCCATGCAGCCTTCTCTTCTCCAGGCTGAACAGCCCCAACTTTCTCAGCCTATCTTCATACGGGATGTACTCCAACAGGAAGGTTTGTAAGTATTTTTCAGGCTTGCTGTAATTTCAGTGTTACTGAAGATCTTATGGGGTGGACAGAATACGGGTGTTTTTAGCATGGAGGGATGTAGAGGTGAGGAGCTGGCCATGCTCCCTGCTGGCCATGGCACCAATGGGAGCTGTGAGGGCTCTGCCACTTACTCTGGATAAGCTCTGGGTGCCCCTGCAATGGGGCTGATTAGTGCCTGCAGTGGGACAAGGAATAGAGGCCACGGTGCGTGTACCAGCTCTGCAGCTCCCTTGACCATGCACTTACTGTTAAAACACTGCCAACTCAAGCTCTCCCCAAAACAACGGAGATTGCCTTTAAAAACCACCTAATGTCTCAGTGTTTATTTGGAAGTGCTGTGTTCATTTGATTGTTTTCCCAGTTTTATGCCTTTAACTCACACTCAGGGCAACTTTTCAGTCTTTTCTCTGCAAGCCAGAAGGCTGTAAAGGTACTTTCTTTTTAAAGATGAAAGCTTGGAGTCTCAGCCACCTGATGGCAAGGGCTGGGGGCTGTGAGAACAAGGCAGAGCTCACACTAAAACTGCAGGAGTGTGCAAATGGACTCTTGAAGTAGCTGCTTCTCCCAGCTGAGAAATGAACTGAATGGAAAGAAAGGCCAGAAGGGCAGAGCATGTAACACACAGAGAACACCAGCTCTCCCTCCCTGCCCCAGCCAAAACAAAAAGCCCATACAGAACCAAAGTGAAATCAGCCATCCTGTTTGTACATGAGGTCTGTGATGGCAGGTGGCATCCGACTGTCACATCTCTGCCGAAATCCAAGCGCAGCTGCCATGGAAAATCTGAAGGTAGAGGCACAGATAGAGATGTAAGTGGTCACGAGTGAACGGGGACCATACAAACAGTACATAGAGGCTCACACCATTTTCTTGTCCATTATTTTAGTCTGAAAAATAGTCACTTTTCACAGAGAAAGGTGATTCAGAGATATGTAACTCAGGCAGCTGCCAGGAGATGGAAAAACAGCTCTAAGGATGTTATAGTGGGGAGGCAGCGCAGAGCCAGTGCTTCACTGCAGATTGTAAAATCTTAGCAAAACTGTCAACTTTCCAAGTAAACAATAGCATTTGGACAATGATCTATGGGCATGTAGTGACAGGACAAGGGGGAATGGCTTTAAACTGACAGAGGGGACATTTACATTAAACACTAGGAAGAAGTCCTTCACTACGATGGTGCTGAGGTGCTGGCACAGGGTGCCCAGAGAAGCTGTGGCTGCCCCATCCCTGGCAGTGTTCAAGGCCAGGTTGGACAGGACTTGGAGCAACCTGGTCTAGTGGAAGGTGTCTCTGCCCGTGGCAGGGGGTTGGAATTGGATGGGCTTTAAGGTCCCCTCCAACACAAACCAGTCTGAGAGTCCATGATTCTTAGGCTCTGATAGTGCTCAGAAAATACCAGGCAGGGTTGTTGAACTGTCCTAAGCCCCCCTCTCATTGAATGGTTAGAGGTGCTGTGTGACGTGACACCAGATGTTCTCTAGCAGCTCTAAGGGTATTTGGATTCCACTTATAATCTCATTGGATATGCTGACACGTTCTCCAGTGTGCCTCTTGAATTGAGATGCTGCAGCATTCACTTCTCTCCTTTCCAGCTGCTAGGCATGTGTCTTTGCTTCTCCACGGGGAAGGAGGTGAGATGATCTTAAGATCCAACCCTAACTATTCTGTGATTCCACGATTCTTCTTTTTAGCCTGTCTTTAGAGCTATGACATGTTTAAAGGGAATTCATCCCTAAAGCAGGCATGGATGTTGGGTGTATCCCTCTTCCCATTGGTGGGCTGTGCACTTTTCTCAGGTGCACATCTGCATCTGCAGAGCTAACTTCATGGAAATCACACCAGGAGGGCAAAGACTGTAGACAACATGCAGATGGTCTTCTGGAGAGCAGCTGCCTTTGGAAAACCAGCTCAAACTACTGTTGGCGTAACAAACAGAGTATTTCCAGGATATAAAATTAAGGGAGGAAAACAGCTTTACTGGCTATTGTCAGAAAACAGAGGCTTGCATAATAACAGCAACATTTTCCATACACTATGCAATTAAGTTACTTGCTTGGGAATTAAACTGTAAGTCAGTTTAGACAGCGTGGCCAGCTGTAACATAACACACGGTTACAACACACATAGTGAATGTTATTACTTGGTGTCAGTGTTTATTGAAGAGAATGGGGATTTGAGAAACAAGCTTTGGCTCAGGAAACACTAACAAAATGATGGCACTTAACGTCTCTAAAGCAACACAGCTTAGAATGTTGGGGAATAAATTCTCCAAAGATAAAATACTTTGGAAAATACCTGCTAATCCCTTTAAACCCCTAGAAGACAACTTATTTTTCATCCTGGGTAATGATTAGCCACAGATTTCACCACTAATCTCAGAAAGATCCTGTGGGGTTTGGACAAGCAAGGGAGACTCCAGGTGTAGATTCAGTGGTTGACTTTGCAGCAGAGGTTCCAGCTGATCTCACTGGAGAGTGTTTTATTTGCTGCTGTCTGCTGGTCCCTTGCTGTCTTCTTTTGCTACTGCAGGAATCAGGGCCAGCAAACAGTGCTTCCCTCTCATTTTTATGGAGAAGAAAGGATGCTCTAGAATGTTGCTTCATCTCAGTTGCAAGATTGGAATGAGACTGGGCTAAATCAACTCTGTTGGAGCTCCATAGAGTCTGGTGAGCTTGCATGAGAGATATATCTGATCCAGGGTAAGAATAACACAAAACACATATGGGCTGGGTTAGTACATTGTTTATATATGGCCAGACCATGGAGAGCTGCCCACATTGCAAAATCCCCCTCCCAGCTGGCTCCATCAGGAGTCCTTTGGGAAGCCCAGCATGGACAGACTAGCAACAAAATGTGGCACAAACAAGGAATCTCCCCTGTCTCGTGCTCACTGGTGCTGAGAGTTGAGGACCATGTCAGCAGTGGTGCATGGGCTCAGCTCAGCAACTGTGCTGAACCAGCATCTCAGGGAGCAGCACAGGTCAGATTGCCATGCCCTCCGGTGGCAGTGAGCTTATAAATAGACTTTTGGAACAAAAACAGGAGCCATCCACCACAGCTATTTGTGGTGACCTCAAAATAAAGTTAGAATTGGGTTTCCTTCTGTGCTGCTTAGCAGAGTGGCTGAGCTCTCCAGCAGAACAGGAAGTAGCTGAGGAGCTGTTTGAGTAACCAGAGTCGTCAGATCGATGGAAAAAAGTGGTTTGAGTGCATTTTGTGAAAGTGCAGTCATCAATTGTGAAATTACTGCAGTTTCTGTCCCTACATCAGGGCTGTTGTGCTTGCCAGGGGGGCACAGGTCTGCCACTGCTGTGTCTGAAAGCAAAGAACGCTGCTTTTGGATGTTGTACACCATGTGCACCCAGGGGTGAAGCAGGAATCTTTCCCTTTAGTGTCCTTGGATTCAGATTGATCTCTCAACATCATCAGGATCCTACGTAGGGTGCCTGCCATGCTCTTACTGGCAGTCATGGGGAGGTCAGGGCAGGTGAGGAGGGAGGCAGAGGGTAAGAGACACCCTCGGGGAGGAAGATGCACAGTTCTCCATCTCAGAATGGAGGTTGGTCCTACACGTTAGTGACACTTGCAGCTTCTTTTCATGTTTTGCAAGCTCATCTGAGAATTGAATGAATGCCAGATTAATCTTTCAAGGGAAACGGACCTGGGTTGAAAATATCCCCAGCACAGATAACTCAAAGGAAGTGCAGCTTTTTAAAAGATCTAAGAATTCTAAGAATCTACCTGGGGTTTCCTGTTTTCTTCTTTCCCTCTTTCTCTTTCCTCCCCTTAGTCCCACATTTTGCCTCTTTGCTGCATCATCATGTCCCCGCTTACTTTCCCCCCGTCTCCTTGTTCCCACAGAGGCATACAAAGGGTTTTCGATCCCGTCCCATGCGCCAGCTGGAAGTAGAGCACTTTCCTCCGGGGTTTTGTCAGGTTGAGCTGCAGGCGCTCCCCAGCCTTTCCCTGATTGTCTGTTCAGCTGCCCTCCGCTTGCGACACTTCGCGCTGCAGCCGGGCAAAGGCCGGTGCGAGCTGCAAAGCGGAGGCGATGCCGTGAGTGCGGGGAGCGCAAGGGGCTGCAGGGGTGCGCGACGGGGCGGCCGTGGGGAGGGAGCGGAGCGGCGCGGCGTGGCGTGGGAGAGCAGGGGTAAGACGGACAGGAAGGGAGCGAGGGGGAAAGGCAGGTGGAAAAGGGAAATGACCGGGGGGGCCAGGAAGGCTAAAGAGAATACAAGGGAAGCTGCGAAGCCATCTGGGAATCTGCTTTAGCCACGTGTAAATCGCAGGCGTCCTTGCGGCTTCCCGCTCTGCGCAGAGCGGAGCAGCAGCGCCCGGAGGAGGCCGGGCAGAGCCGGGATGGCGGCGTGCGGCGGCGTGCGGTGAGCCTGCGAGGAGGGGACGCGGGTGTGGGGACAGCACACGGAGGGACCCAGTGAGTGGGTGCCCCGAGGTGGGGCACCGGCGCGGGCAGAGCTGCGCCAGGCAGAGGCTGATGGAGACTGCGCTCGTGGGTGATGGCAGGGGCAGAGGTGGATGCTGTGGGGTGGAGGCAGAATGGGAAGTCGGGGAGAAGCCGAGTGCAAAAGCTGATCAGGGGATGGAAAAGGAGGAAACTGAAGGGAAAAGTTAGGTGAAAAGTTGCAGGTAGTGAAAAAAAGCATCGTGGAAGGCTGACATTGCAAGGCAGGGTAAAGTGAGGAGAGTCTGGGTGAGATTTTCATAGCACTTAATGATGCCTGGGGTAGGGTTTATGGCAAATAGCTAGATCTCAGCCAGCCTCCCTTTGTGGGGAGAAACAGGCCCCTGCAGAGCACAGTGTATGTGACCTGCCTGCACAGCATGAGAGTTGCCAAGGCTGAGCAGCACTGTGACTGTAAAAGAATTTAACTAGCATAGATGCAGTCTTCTACACTGAACATGGCTAAAAATAGGCGAGATGAATTGCAATCCTGAGGACAAAATGTTACAGTAAATGCATACAACCCATCTCATGTTATTTAGCCGGGCGCATTCATGCCTCCTCCATGCATGTGCATGCTGGAGATGTGTGCCAGGTGCAGGGTTTGGGCACATTAAGGGTGCACCTAAACGCTAGCATGTACCTGTCTGGGATGCTCCTGTCTCTTAGCTTCTGTGCAGAAGCCCTCTGAACCTCAGACCCCCCAAAATTGGGCCATGATGGTGGAGCAGGCTGTAGTTCCTCAGGTCTTTGCTGTTTGAATCATGAATCGTTCCTAGGAGTCTCAAGGAAGAGCAGGGAGATGTACTGCTGTTGCAGGGGGTGCTGCTGCTGACCCCATTGCTCCCTGCTTCACTGTGAAGACTGCAGGGTTAATCCAGACCCTCACCTGGTTTTAGCTGAGCTCTGTAGGCTGCCTTCAGCCTCCACCAGACGTGTGGGGGTCACTTTGCTTAGTGTCACACTGAGAGGTACCAGTGTGACAGGGAAGAAAGGTACCCAGTCCCTGCTGGTGCCATTTGCCCCAAGCCACCTTGTCCTGAAGGAGAGACAATTTGTCTGCCCTGGTGAGAGAACTGGTTAGGAAGGAGTAACACTGCATCTCTGCAGGGACACCCATGAGACGTGCCAAGAGAAACCCAGGCACATGCTGTTACTTCAGAGGATCCCTCATATGGACCAGACTGGTGTGGATGGTCTGAGCAGGGCATGGATCTGGAGCCCACCTGCACTGGAGGTGTTCTCCGGCTGCCCCAGCCGGCTCCCTGCAGCCCTGCTCTCCTTCCCTGTCCTCATCCCCGACCTTGTCCTCATCTCCAAAATTAGCTCTGCAGGTCCCTCACCTCATCTTCAAAACTCTCTGTGCAATTAACTTGCACAGGGGTGTCCTTGGCAGAAGATGTCCCCAAAGGACGGGCAGCGAGAGGATGTGCACAGTTCAACTGTAGCTAGGTCACGATGGTTACTTGCAGGAAACGCTGTGAACGTGTATCTCTGCATCAAGAAGTGGCAGTTTGCTCATGGAGATCGTGAGCCTCTGGTGCTACCTGAGCTTGTTCAACACTGTGGGAGTGAACAGAGTTATCATCTAGGGAGGGTGACATTGGGCTTTTAGTGCTCGGTTTGAGTAGTCGCAATTGAACTCCTCATTCACTTAGCCCTTTACTGCAGGCTGCTCATTCTCATGCTGCGCATTTCCTCTGCCTGCAAAAGCACTTAGAGAAACTTGGGTCCCCAAGTCACATATTCTCAATATTTATGCCCCCCTGGATGGTTTCCCAGGGAAGCTCTTTCTCTTACAAGTCAAGGAAAGACGTATATTTGTCAAAAGTAATATTAACAGGGTGTAGAGTTCATTCTCAGGCAGCAGGTGGGTTAGAAAACCTTATTTTTGTGCAGTTAGTTTTGTAAGATCTCCCTTCCACCTTCTCTATGATTTCATTTGCTTCCATGTCCTGCAGTCTCAAAAGACAAGGGTTTCTATGGGCCATCTTGAGAGCACTTGCTGGCAGCCCTCACAGGAGCAGCGCAGAGCTGGCTGTCCCTGGATTTCCATATTCATGTTAGCTGTTGAAACATGTTGTCTCACAAGAGCTATAGGGTAAATTCCCACTAAATTCTTTATCCTGCTCAGAGGGGATTAGTGAAAAGGTCCTGGTAAAGAACACTGAGGTCAGGAGATACACAGAGTTTATATGTGGGATTGTTCAGCCTGCAAACTAATGGGCTTCAAGTGAAATATCTCAGATCATTGCGAAAACTCTTCCATTCTTTCCTTTCTGCTTACCCTGTCCGGTAATAAGACATACAGTTTGCATGATGAAATTGCCAGGATGTGCACACAGCCTTGGAGAAGAAATGACTTGTTGGCTCTGTGCAGAACCACACTGGGAAAGGAGCTCTGCTGCAGGCTCCTCTGAGCCCACTCACGCCGAGGGGAGAAAGGGATGTGCGTCCATGCGAGCCGCCTGCTCTCAGCTCTGCAGGCTGAGAGAATGCAGCCACATGGGGGGTTTCAGCAGCAGCCATGAGCTGATGATGTGGAAGGAACAGGATGGGATTTCTGCATGGCATGGGCACTGTTGCACAACACCCTCCATGGCTGATGGCTTGGGCTGTCTTTGCACTGAGGCTCCTGTCTGTGCTCTGCCGATGGGGAGGGGGCTGCAGAGGCACTGTGTGGCCCATGGCAAGGGCCAGCAGCTTTCTGCAGGGATGGAAAGCTGTAGTCAAAATGAGAAGGCAACTCCTGTGCTGCTTCATCTTCCTGGGAAACAGGAGCATGGCTCAGAGCAAACACACCGAATGGCATTCACTCCCATCTGGGCCACATAAGCTGTACTGCTCTGATAGTCGAAACTCCCAGTAAGAGCATTTGCCCAGTTTTCTATCAAATACAGCACCTGAGAAGGTGAAAGCCTTGGGTTTGTAACTCATTAGACCTAACATCAGAAACGATGAGGTGCATCACACAGACTAGCCCTAGCTCCATGGCAGTGTAAGGCACCACAGAAGCAGGACCCCAGAAGGTGTATTTTCCCCCCAGAATGGGTATGAGCCCCAGCACGAGCTGTGCAAGGCTTGCAACTATGGGTGCTATCAGCAGAGCATCTCTGAGCATCCTGCACCACTGGGCTTGGGGAGGGCAAACGCTTCCCCTGGTATGAAGTCCCCGAGCTGCCTTAGCTTCAGCTGAGCTCTCAGGTTTACAGCAGATGAGGATCAGGCTGCAATCGCAACCAGTGACATAAATAACACACAGCTATGTTAGAATACCCCACCCTTTTCCTGCAGTTTTAGTTAGAGGGGCAGTGCTGCTTGTGATGCTTTATTGTGACAGAGAATGAAGAGAAACACGGAAAATCAAGGCTATTTGGTTTAAGGTATGGAGCTGGGCTTCTTGTCTTGGGAGGGGGAGAAGGTACACTTTCTTCAGTAGGTGTTTTTAGGTTGTATTTGCTTAAGCAAGGAGGAGTGAAGTAGACCCAGTAATTATTATATATAGCCTTAACTGTGGTTGTATCTCCAAGGAAGAGTTTAAATGGGAGAGATCATGTGTGTGCTGTCCTAAATTGCCTCTCCTGGTTGGCATATCCAAATGAAGAAGGTTTTAAGCATATGGCAGCTGAGTAACTGGGGCCTGTTGTTCTGGCAGGGCTGATACTTGCACACCCTCCTGGCTCAGGTGTGTTCTTCAGCATCCAGAGCCTGCCACTGAGTAGCTCAGCTTTCAAAGAGTGAGTGCAGCACAGTTGGGCTGACACAGTGGAGTTGGTGGTGGGTCATAAGGGTGAGTGACGATAGCTGTAGGGACCCCGTATGGGTAGCCACACTCAGTGCTGCTGAGAGATCTCAGGACCCCTGTCAGAAGTGGTTCAGTGTGATGGCTCAGGGGACCATTTCCTTTGGAAGTTCATGCTGGCTGTCCACTTCTCTTACATGTGTTTGAAATGTTTAATCCATCTATTTCTGCTCTCAAGCGTCTGTACCTGCTCCTGTTACATCCAACACTGCTATGGCAAAGCCTTTAAAGGTGTATTTAGAGCTGTAGGGTTCCTGGATTTCTGCATACTATGTGGGCATCACTCAGACTGAGCAGCGCTGGTCCAGGGTCCTCAAGTGGCTTGTGTATGGCTGTGTGTTGCCCTCTGAGCACTGGGACTTTAATCCTGCTTTGTGTGAGGAGGGAAACTGTGCTGGGGCTTCACTAGCTGACCTAGAGATTGCTGTGAAGTCTTCAAAGAAACTCAGTTGAACCTAGCTGCCTGGAACCTCTCAATGTTGTATGGGACGAGTGGGAGGCACACCAGGAGAGCTTTCAGGCAGTAGTTAGTCCGTCATATACCCTCATACGGGAGCTGTGCAGTTGAGATGCTGGAGCTGTGCCCCAGCTTCCCATCCACAGGCCTGCATGCTTCATGTTGTTGGCCTGGAAAAAGCAGGATCTGCAGGTAGAGCTGGGTGGTGGGTATGTGTTGATGCAGGAGACATTTCTAAGGGTGAAGCTGAGGCACT